TAAACACTTATTAAACTACGGGTTACCTTGGTGGGATAATGAGTGCACCAACGCTATTAAAAGGAAAAGACAAGCATTCAGAGGTTATAAAAACAACCCCTCTGAGACCAACTTCCTTTAATCATTAAGAACCCGGGCACAAACAAGACAGCTGCTACGTAAGAAGAAAAAGGAAGGCTTTGTCAACTTTTGTGAGAATCTATCTCCAAATACTAGTGCAAAAGAAGTTTGGAGCAATATTAGAAGGTTTGGTAAAGGTATCAGGTACGAAAATTATCATTTTATCTCTAATTTCTCAATCCCACAAGATATGTTTGATCTTTTGACGCAACCTCCCTCTATGTTGCGTAACATCCCCGAATGTCGCTTCTCATCAGAATATACAGAAGACTTCCATATCTCAGAATTTGTCGCGGCTGTTAAAGGTCTGAAGAGCAAGAGTCCCGGTGTGGATAAAGTACCTTTCAGTGTGCTCAGCCATCTCCCTGTTAAAGGAGCAGTCTTTCTTATCAAATTTTTCAACAAAATACTTCGGAGGGAAACCGTCATTCCAGAGACGTGGAAAACCCAAATGGTGATCGCAATTCCTAAACCGGGGAGAGACCCCTCAGCGTTATCGTTCTACAGGCCCATCAACTTAGCTTCTTGCATAAGCAGAACTTTTGAAATTATGATCAAAAACCGACTGGAATGGTTCGTAGAGAACCAAGGTTTAATAGACGTTCACCAAACTGGTTTCAGAAAGGGTAAGGGAACTTTCGACAATCTTGCAGTTATCTCCTCAGAGGTACTCTGCCGTTTGGCTCGCAATCAACTAGCAGCAATGGTGACTTTGGACATATCCAATGCCTACGATAATATAAATGTAGACTTATTGAACACGGTGTTGGCCAAAATTGGAATCGCTAGAGATTTGACTTTGCTCATTAAAGATTTTCTCACGAACAGGAAGATACAAGTTAAAGTTCCATCTACTAATACATTCGTGTCAGGCAAAACCACCAGCAAGGGAGTTCCCCAAGGTTCCCCTCTTTCTCCATTACTATTTAATATTTACATCAATTCAATTAAAGAAACAATTCCTAAGAACATAAGACTTTTACAGTTTGCGGACGATACCGCCTTGCTGAGTACTGGGACTGATGCCCAAACAATAGTGAACAATTTGAATAGAACTTTGCAAAATATACATATTTGGTCTTTGAATGTAGGACTTGAGATTAACCCCAATAAATCTGCATCTATATTTTTTTCCAGGAAGAGTTACAAGGTTAATTATCTCCCCAGACTTCACCTCAACACTCGAACCATTGCATGGAGAAATTCCATCACATATCTAGGAGTGATTTTTGATCCAAAACTGTCATGGGAGCCACAAATTAGAAATATGATACAGAAAGCTGGTGGGTTCAATATGATGCGATTAATAAGTAGAATTTGGTGGGGGGCACATCCCTCTACCCTTCTAACTTTTTACAAAGCTTATGTTAGACCCCATTTGGATTATGGAGCCTCTTTTTTGGGTGGTAGCTCAAGAAAGTCTATTGCTCAACTTAACAAAATTCAATTTGAGGCACTGACAATAGCTCTGGGATATATGAAGTCCACACATACTAACATACTTCTAGGGGAAGCAAGTGAAATGGATTTAGATACATGCTAGCGACTAAATCATTATTGAAAGCTGCCAGTTTAGTGAACAGTGAAACCTTAGCTGCGGTTAGATGGTTATATATCACCTATAATGAAAACCATTACTTTTTTCGGAAAAAGAGTATTCCTGCACTTGTGGATGCTTTTGAAATAGTTGATTCACTGTTAGATACACTTTACAGGAGCCAAGTTTATCCCTGTTTCTCTTGTCCACTGCCGAACCTTTTAAGCTCTGTTCAAATCCAAGACTTAAAACTAAAGAAAGATAATAATAACTCCAAATTATTTGAAATTAAGAAGAGCGAGACTTGGACCCCAGATTTTCATTTAATTTTTACAGACGCCTCAAAAGATAAAGAAGGCCGAGTAGGTTTTGGCGTTTACAACTACAATACGAACCTTAAAATGGGACCAGGCCTACCAAGTGAACTATCCATTTGCTCTGCCGAGATTTATGCTATTGGTCAAGCTCTTGATTGGATTGAATTCAAGGACATCAACAAAGCAGTCATTCTTTCAGACTCCAAAAGTGCCCTCGAAGATATCAATAAAACTGGGATGGATGCAAAGTCTAACTACCTAACCTTGCAGGTTAAGAATAAACTATTTACCTTAATAAAAACGCAAAATAAGGATATCCAATTATGCTGGATATCAAGCCATACTAATATAAAAGAAAACGATGTTGCGGACCAGATCGCCAATGCTGCACGCCTCGAACCACAGGAAAATATAAAATTGAGCTTTAGGGAATTCTTCCCTAAATTAAAGCATAACATCTGGAATGCTTGGAGCGACAGATTGAAACATATAGGATTAGGGAAAGGAATTAATTTCACCTCACATTATTCTACTCCGCCAACTAAACCCTGGTTTCATAAGCTCGACTTGAATAGAAGAGAAATCACAACTATGTGTAGACTGAGAAGCAACCATTGCTGTTTTCCGGCTCACCTAAATAGAATCAAAATCCAACTCTCCGGAGACTGTGAATGTGGAGAACTGGGCGATTTAAGTCATGTGCTGTTTGATTGTGCTCTTCATTGGGAAAAATCACAACAGTTGTATGAGTCACTCATTAGTGCTAATTTTCCTTCGCCTCATATTAATTCCATTTTATTTCACCGCACTCAGTTGGATTTTCCTGCTAGAATTGATGCATGTGGATTAAATCTTTGAATATTGTTTTCACATATTCTAATTCTTTCGTCCATTTTTTTTTCCTGTATAGCCGTCCAGTAGGATGATGGTATCACCCAGACCCTCTTTACGGAGGCATCCTTCATGGAAATAGTTTATTGCACACCATTACCGAGAAGCTGGCCGAATTGCCTTAGCAGTAGTGGCCAAATAAAGCGTAATTAAAAAAAAACAATAAAATATATCCTACATCTATGGTCCGAGGAACGAATGTAGACTAGGGTCTAGTTAAGAAGGAGGTTATGTCAGAATGAGACGCGTGGTTACTTTGTACTTTTGGATTCATCTTTTTTCATGTTGCGTTTTGTAGTGTCAATATATTGTTGAGTTTCGGACTTGTTTGAATATCCCAAATTGACCATTTCCTACAACAGGTTATGGGCCCAGACATGCTGTGTGAATAAGAATTCGGGAGTCGTAAAAGTTAAAATATACGTTTCTAAAACGTAGTCGAAAGAGAAAAAAAAGCAATACCAAGTTATTTGGGAACGTTAAAGAGTTTGGCATAAAAACGAACGCCACAAATAATAGTGATGGCAGAAGGATTGCAAGTCGTGAAGTTGAATGGAGAAAATTGGACACTTTGGAAATTTCAAACATTGGTGTGTTTAAAATCCAAGGGACTGTTTGAAGTTGTTAACAAGGCTGCTGTAAAACCGCCTGGTGACGAAACGGATAAGAAAGTTACAGAATGGATTATGAAAGATGCAAAGGCTCAAGAAATAATTGTGTGTAGACTGGAAGAAAAACCCTTATCCATGTATTGGCATGTACCACAGCAGCGGAAATGTGGCAAAAATTGGTGACAATCTATGAAAATAGATCTCAGATAAGTGCACATTTATTGCAGCAGAAGTTTTTTGGCTTGGAGTACGGCGAAGTTGGCATAGCTGGGTTGATATCGAAAATTGAAGAAATTCAAGGAAATCTGAAACTACAAGAAGATGAAATAAGCGATAAAATGGCAATCACAAAGATACTTATGTCTCTACCCGAAAGTTTAAAGTACTTTGTTTCAGCGTGGGAATCCATGCCAGAAGACAAACAAACTTTGTAGAACTGATGTCAAGATTGTTAGTAGAAGAAGAAAGAAACAAACCCAGTAGTTCAGGGACAGCTTTAGTCACAAAAACATTTAGGTCAAACAAGTTTCAACAACAACGGAAAGATATAGTATGTTTTCAGTGCAATAAAAAGTGTCATATAAAGAATAATTGTCCAGAAAAGACCAAGAAAATATGTCACTGCTGCAGAAAAGAGGGACACTTAATTAAAGACTTTTGGTTTAACAAAAATAAGAAGAAAAAGGAAGAAGGTGGTAATGCAGAAAGCGATGAAAAAAATGCAAAAGCAAACGTTTGAACAAAAATCTGTGGGCAGAAGCTATTAACACTTCAGTTTTTGTGTTAAATAGAATTGGATGTAGTTCCATTCCGAACAAAATACCTTATGAATTTGGTTCCAAAGTAGCGGTGCACATAATTAAAAACAAAAGAAGGAAATTGGATTCAAAGAGCAAACTTGGAATTTTGGTAGGATATGGACAGACAACTAAAGGGTATCGAATTTTATTTCCACAAAGAGGGGAAGTAGAAATCCACAGAGATGTAGTGTTTATACCAGATAGTGAGGAGGCTGACCGAAAAGAGAAGAAAAATGAAGTTAACGTAGTTTTGTTAGATTTGGACACAGACATAAACAGTGAAGATAAACCAATACAAGAATCAGAATTTGAAATAGACATAGAGAATGCAGAAGAAAGAAAAGAGAATGAACAGTTGGAAAAGAGAAGAGTTAGAAGACCAGATTGGATGAGAGACTATGATGTGACCTTCTACACCGAAATAGAAGAACCTATGACCTTCGAAGAAGCCATAACCAGTACAGATAGTGAAAAATGGAAGAATGCGATGGAAAAAGAATTGGCAGTGTTTCGTAAAAACAATACGTGGACTGAAGTGCCTTAGCCCGTGAATAAAAACGTCATAGATAGTAAGTGGGTGTTTAAAAAAAAAGGTGACCGAGAATATAAAGCAAGACTTGTTGCGCGCGGTTTTCAACAAAGAAGTGATCCTGAGTTGTATGACATATATGCTCCTGTAGCAAAGTTAACAACTTTCCGCATCTTACTGGTAGTAAGCAGCAAGATGGGTAGACCAATACACCAAATGGATGTGAGAAGCGCCTTTTTGTATGGAGATATAGAAGAACAGGTATTCATGGTGTTACCAGGTAAAAATAAAAGTAATAGTAATACAGTATGTAGGCTAAATAAGTCGCTGTATGGTCTAAAAAAATGTCCATATTGTTGGAAAAAAAAATTTGACTCTTTCATGCGAAATCAAGGTTTTGACCGATCACAGAATGATTATTGTTTATACCTTAAATTGAATGAAAACAGCAAATCATTTGTAATGTTATATGTTGATGATCTTTTAATATTATGTACAGATGACAGCGGATTAGATAGGTTAAAGCTAGTTTTAAATAAAAATTTTCATTTGAAAGATTTAGGAGTTATTTCAAATTACTTAGGTATAGAAGTTAAACAGAGACTAAATGAAGGACTTACTGAATTAGGACAAAAAGAATATCTAAAAAATGTGTTAACTCGTTTTGGTATGCAGGATTGTAAATCCATAAACACTCCTTTAGACAGTAATATAGATTTGAAAATCTTTAAATGTGAAAAAGTTGACCTGGCATTGCAAAAATTATGCAGACGTATTGTGGGAAGTTTAATGTACGCCGCAATGGGGTCTAGACCTGATTTATGTGAGAGCATTAATTTGTTAAGTCGATTTCAAGACAAAGCAAACAAAAACTTATACAAAGCTTTAAAAAGGGTTTTGCGTTATGTGCAGGGCACACTAGATTTAAAACTAATGTTTATGCCAGATGACAAAAATTTGTTAATAGGATATGTTGATTCCGATTGGGGTGGAGATACGATTAATCGCAAATCCACCACAGGTTTTATATTTAAGATGTTTAATTGTACTATCGCCAGGGCCAGCAAGAAGCAGCAAACAGTAGCCATATCATCAACAGAGTCAGAATACATAGCGTTGAGTCTAGCAGTAACTGAAGCATGTTGGCTGAGAAAAATAATGTATGATTTTTTTTTTCATGTTGATAGCCCAACAACAATATATGAAGACAAACATATTGATGTTAAGTTTTACTCTATCAAAGAAAAGATCGATGATGGTATTGTAACTGTAACATATGTTAAGAGTGAAAATCAACTGGCAGATTTGTTTACAAAACCATTAACATACGTAAAATTTAAAACGTTACGTTTAGGTTTAGGTTTAGAATAGAAAAGCTAAAATAAGTGTTATTTGTTATGGACCATAACCTTGTAAGGAATTATTTTATTGAGGGGCGTGTTGGTAATCGTAAAACGAACCAATAAAATATATCCTACATTTATGGTCCGAGGAACGAATGTAGACTTGGGTCTAGTTAAGAAGAAGGTTAGTGCAGAATAAGAGACGCGTGGTTACTTTGTACTTTTGGATTCATCTTTTTTCATGTTGCGTTTTGTAGTGTCAAAATATTGTTGAGTTTCGGACTTGTTTGAATATCCCGAATTGACCATTTCCTACAACAGAAACACTGGAGGTATACTTCAAGAGTGCCCTGCAATATGAGGAAAAGCGCTGAAAGACTTACCCTTCAAGGTGGTGTACACTATCAACAACTTATTTAGTTTTTATCTTATAACTTAGTTTCAAAAAGCTTGTTATGAATTTAATAATGGACGATTAAGTATAAAAATTATTAACAGCAGGTAGTGTTTTTTTTTACATGAGAATCACTTAAAAACACAAACTGGTTTCTCTGAACGCTGTCATATTAACGATATTGTTATGAACATGCAGATAAGAGGTTTTTTAAGCGAAAACCGTACATCAGATTGAAAAAAATAAAAAAAAAAATTTCTGCAGTGTTTCTCATATTAAATTTTCTTTTTGAAATGGAAACATTCAATTAGAATACAGCCTGTACAATTTTTGTTAATATATATCAATTCGTATCAACTTTTTTCCTTTGTTCCTCTGTTTCCTTCGCTTTTCTTCAGCTTATCTAACCTAATGCCAATTGCGATCGCCGAAGGACTAAAAATTACCTTTAAAATTTTCGTTTCAATCCCAACTTTAAAATCGATCACCTACGCTAAGAACAAAGCCCTTACGTTGATACGCATTCTAGTTAGAAAGGGCAAGAGAGGAAAATTTTAATTAGATACGAGTTTGTCTATTTTAACAAATATAATATTATACTAAAATATAAAGAAATAATTTTCAATCGTACAACATAATTGATCCATTGAGTGGAAAAAGGTATGTGAACCACGGAAAAACAAGGATTTCATTGCATTTTAAAAAATATCTTTACAGAAGAATATTAGGAGAACTTAAATGGTCCGAATTCGGGAGAGAGTTTTTAAAAAGATTTATTAGCACAGAAAGCGGAACAAAACCGGTACAGAGGCTGGAATAATTAAAAGCACTTTTACAATATAAGAAGCGAATATATCTCTCTTTTAGCGGGGAGTCAGCAAGGGGTTATTTTCACTATGGGCTTCGTCTGTGGTCCGGGTACATAACTGAGACGCCTTTTTTTGTTCATTGAGTTGTTCATTACTTGTATAATTAAAAAACGAAAAAGCTTAAATCAAAAAATCTATTATTGTGTTAAACGACCCATTGATTTTTTGGTACAGTTTAATATTCATAACTAAGTACTCTATCGTATAGGTCGGTGTAATTTTTAGGTAACTGACAAAAAAACACTGGAGACTGCTTTGGAAGTAGGTTACAGACATTTCGACACTGCATATGTATACGGCAACGAACATATCATCGGCAAGGTCCTCAACAAGTGGTTTTCATCTGGAAAACTCAAGAGAGACGATGTTTTCATAACTACGAAATTGCCATTTCACGGCAACTATCCCGAAGGGTAATATTCTAATAAGGTAATATTATGGCAGGAGCTATAACTTCTGTTTTTCATAATGTGGAGAAATTTCTTAAGGAGTCCCTGGCGGCCCCACAAATGAATTATGTTGACCTATATTTAGTCCATTCCCCGATTCGAATGAGAGGCAGGTGTGGGGGCGTAGACGGATTGTCTATGGATCATGTAGGCGTTTGGCGCGTGAGTCCTATCTAAAAACTTGCACGAAACTAATATTGAAGGGATTATTTTGCAGGAAATGGAGAAACAGGTGAAGGCGGGTCGCGCCAAAACGATTGGCGTCTCTAATTTCAATCAAAGACAAGTAGAGAGACTTCTTAAAGAGGCAGAAATTAAACCAGTCTGCAACCAAATCGAATTAAATGTGTATCTACCTCAAACGCAATTAATGGAATTCCTCCAAGCGAATGGAATCGTTGTAGTTTCGTTTTATTCTTTAGGAAGCTCTAGACCGATAGAACGACGAGACAAGATTGGCTTACCTCAAACAGTACGTATATTGCGTATTGGACATCCGTTAAATCACTTATAATGGTTTTAGGCTGCAAGATCATCCGGAATATCCTCACCCTGTACGAGACGACTAACCTGGCTTTATTTGTGTAATATGCCAAATAAAAAATATATAAATGTATAATCTTTTACGACTTTCGCACAAGAATTGTTTCGTTCCACTTCACTAAAAAAAATTGTTTGCAACCATATGGTCTTGCTAAATACTACTTGCAGTTTTTCCATCATTCTGTAATACTTTTTCTTTAATAAAATCGTTGGAATAAAAGCAATTAACAACCAGTTCTAATTATATATGCTCTAAGTGCTTTAATTTCCACTGCCATCATCAATCGGTACAGCGTTTAAACAAATTTCCAAGCTACCCATGTTTACAGTAATAAGTAGAAATCCTGATACGAAAATTGTTTATTCATGATGCAAAGTTGCAAAAATTAACATTTTATTCCCAAACTAAGACATTTAATTCAAAATTAAAACACAGATAATTTGAACTATAACCGGCAACCCAATTGGATTAAATTTTTCTTCTAAAAATAAAGACTTCTGACTTCTAATACTGCCGGTCAAAGGGCCAAAGTTTTAAGACATTTGCCATCATATTTACATGCAATGTTTTCTTTAGAAAAAAACAATCTGAATCCGTGTTAAATAAACCAGGGACTCATTCTATAAGGCAATACAGCCTAAATAATAAAATGTCCCTATGAATAGCTAACAATGTCTTGGTAGTCTGTACAATATGAGAAAGTTTTAAGGCTCAACCAGATCTACAAAAATAACTGAGGGAGGTATCAAAGCTAGTGAATAATTCTAGAGCTGTTATATCAAATTTTTTAAATAATATTTATTACAATCCCAGTAACTGACACCAAAATAATAGAATTTAGTTAACCGTAGTTAGGTAACCCACATTCCGCGGATTTAGTTTTTGTACTTTTCTCCATAGGGCAGTTCGACGGTCTTTAATAACTCGTCCATATCAACAGCTAATAACAAGGAAGTCTGCACATTATATGGAAGTCTTAAGGCTCAACCAGAACTATAAAAATAACTGAGGGAGGTACCAAACCTAGTGTGGAATTTTAAAGCTCAGTTATATTATATTATTTAAATATTTATAAATAAGATTTCTTACATCGTTGTGACAGACTACCATAATCACGGAATTTAGTTAACCGTAGTTATGTAACCCAGATTATGCTAATTTAGTTTTTGTACTTTGCTCCAGAGGGCGCTTAGATCAAATATGGTTAGATCAAATATGGTTAGTTTTGTGATCATAGTTAATTCGAAGCCCTGAACATCTTCTTTTTTCTCGTAACGTTTGCAAATTGGCTAAGGGCATTTGCCCGTTACCGACTTAAGTCGAGAGGTTTTGTTAAATTTCCAAGCGTACTCAAAATTAACACATCACACTACACTCCATGAACAGCATTGGTTCAATGTTACCGAGCCCAGTCTAAACTTTTAGCATAAGAAGTATGTTTACCAAAAGTAAAGCACGTGCAATTAGAAAGCCACATATAGGTTTAGCAATTATTTTTCTTAAAAAATTTTCATTTAATAATGGAATACCATAGTTGACCACTTTTCAAACATGTGCTATTCAATTTAATGTTCTTAACTAATAAACACGAACAAGGAAAACGAAAATGAGGATTGAGCAAAGTTTTAAACAAAAGTAACAGATCTTTAATATTTTCGAGATTTTTATTTGTTTAGTAATTTAAAATTACTACGTAACTTAAATTTTAACTATTTTTATCTATTTCACTATTCTGGCGCATTCTCCAAAAATTTAAAAGAATCTCCTGAAAATTTGGCAGGCGGGTAGATCGCGTCTAGATCATCATTTTGTGCCCAATAAACTAATCTCTCAACTAGTAAGGGAAAGCCAGGAAATGGGTGGAAATTGGGAAAATTCAAAGTGTTCATGAGCGGTTGAAATTTGGCAGGCAGGTGGATCTCGTCGAGACGATCATTTTGTGTCCAGTAAACTTTTCTCTAACACGTAAGGGAAAGACAGGAAATGGGTGGAAAATGGGAAAATATTAAATTGGTCGGAGACGGTTGAAATTTGGCAGGCGGGTAGATGGCGTCGAGAGCACTCTAAGAACTTGATGACAAAAATCGAGAGGTTCCAATGAACCTTGGTAGGTCTACACGGCAAAAAAATCATATGAAATCTTTCACCGAAAATTCACTAACTGTTTTTTGCCATACTGGTGCGTCCAAGAAACTCCTGAATCTGTTCGGGACTAATTCAAAAAGTGACAAACTGCAATACAGGCGTGCTTTCGTTAAACGGGCACATTTAAAGATATTGTCCCATGTTTTGAGGTACCAAGTTTTCGAATATTTGCAATGCGGCATACTTTATTTGACGTCGTTTTTTTCATTTGAAGCTTCTAAAACATCGCGTGGATTTCGCGTTGATTTCATTGGAAAATTACGCCTTTTGGCGGTTTTTAATAGCATTACATTATTACATTATTTGAAAGTCTTAAGGCTCAACCAGAACTACAAAAATTATTGGGGGATGTATCTGTATGTATAAGTTAGTGTGGAATTTTAGAGCTCAGTTATATTATATTATTTAAATATTTTTAAATAAAATATCTTACATCCCAGTGAGACTACCAAAATTACGGAATTTAGTTAATCGTAGTTATGTGACCCAAATACGCAGATTTAGTTTTTGTACTTTGCTCCAGAGGGCGCTTAGATCAAATATGATCAGTTTTGTGACCATAGTTAATTCGAAGTCCTAAACATTTCTCCTTTTTCTTCGTTTTCGTCGTAACGTGAGCAAATTGGCTAAGGGCATTCGCCAATTACCGACTCGGTCGATAGGTTTTGATAAATTTCCTAATGGTGACATCTTAAAAGTCTAGTTTATCGCAACCCAGTTAACACTGTAGTATAGCTGAAGGATCGTATAAGAAACTGTTGGTAATCGTAAAACGAACCAATAAAATATATCCTACATCTATGGTCCGAGGAACGAATGTAGACTAGGGTCTAGTTAAGAAGAAGGTTATGTCAGAATAAGAGACGCTTTTTTTTTTTCGGTCAACCAGGTGAAGTGGTGTGCACAATTTTACCTCGATCCGAGAAAATTTTCATTTTTTTGAAGTAATTCTAGTCTTCAACTGAATTTTTCGGTCTGGGTGAGTTTTATATTTAGTCAGCAGTAAATATTTGCTTTGGTTTGGTGTCGCAGTTCGCAATAGATTAGCGCTTTTCATATCATGACATGTGCTTCGGGGGGTAAAGACCCCCCTGATAGAAACGATCGTATCGTAGTTAATAATCCGATAGTGTACGCAAATGATTTTGATTCCTTTCAAGCTCAACTAAACTTGTCCCAAGCTTCTACCTTCTCTAGCAGTGGTTATTCATCAGCCTTGACGCTTTCGCCTTTAGCTAAGAAAGCAGCACATGCTATCGCTCAGCATCAATACTTCTTAGTACCCACTAAGGAGGAAATAGATTTAGTTGGGACAGAGTTACAAAAGCTTAAATCTGTCTTCGTGGAAGATCAGGATGCCCTAAACGAAATTGCAAGAATTTCAGTCAACATAAGGAGAACACTTAACCGAAAGTATGAATATGAACTTACAGACCAGGGACCATTTCTTATCATAATGGAGGGAATAACTTCTCAAGTTGGAAACATTCACCCGATGAATATTGGAAAAATTTTGCACAGAGCTGGAGTACAAGGTATAACAAAAATCAATAGAAAAGGGGCTAATAAAATTTTAATTGAATTCAGAACATCAGAGTATGCTAATCAGTTTTTGTCAAATGAAAGTTTCAGTTCTGCTAGACGCTATAATAGGTACATTCCACAACGTCTTGTCACTTGTAGAGGACTAATCAAGGATGTAGGGGACCAAATTACGGAAGAGGATTTTTACTCAGAAGCGATAGCTTATAGAGGAGAATTATCCCGGGCCAGGTCGATTAAGATATTAAATGTAAAAAGAGTCTTAAGAAGGAAGAAAATACTTGCTATTTCTGGTGAAACAGTAATGAAAACCATCCCCACAAACGATTATATTGTAACATTTGAAGGAAAATCATTACCCCAAACTGTAAATATTTTTAATAATGAAAGAGAAGTGGAAAAATATGTTAACCCGGTTATAATGTGCGTCAATTGTTACAGATTTGGACATGTCAAAAATAATTGTAGAGGCAAGCCTCGTTGCGGTTTTTGTACAGAAGATCATCTTATGTTTGGTTGTGAAAAAAGAGAGCAAGCAATGTGGACGAGAAAGAGCAATGGACTGTAATTTTTTGTTTAATTGAAGCTAGAAATAACGGGGCGATTTAAAAAATAATATATTGATGTAACGAGACGAAAAATGACAATCTCTTTTCTTCTTGGCCTACCTTGATGTAGCTCTGGCTGTTGACCGGCACAATTTCGCAATACTTGACGGCACTCGAGATATTAATTCTGGCACGCGGAAAAATGCTCTCACGTTGGTCTCTGCCTGAGTCCTACTAGTCCCGATCACAGCGGAGTGCGACACCCAAGCGACATACGAGTTTTTCTGGCCGTATACCCAGTGAGATTGTCACCAAAATACGCGGAGAATATAACCGCACCAATTAATTAAAAGAAAACCAATTTCAATTTGCTCGATATAAAAATTCCCCAATTACAAAAATTAAAGAGGAAAAATAAAACAAAACAATTCCGACTGGACGGAACATACCGCCCACCTAAAATGGCAACATTTTATTAATGAATCCAAAAAAAAGAAAATAATTAACAAAAACCGTAATAACAATTCCGATACCCACGCGAATTCTAAGCTTAAAATTAAAAATTAATATATTGGAAAACATTAATAACTAATATATTGGCAAAGGACAAACCTTTAAAACTAGGCGTTTGAGAATACCCTTTGCCGTTTTAATAGAGACTACTCTCACCACTCCGTCCGTACCCGGATGGACTTCTGTTACGCGCCCCAAATGCCAAGCCAATGGAGGAGAGAGATTTTATTTAATTAACACCAGGGTGTCAATTTTAATATCAGTGGAGGGATCATACCACTTGGATTTTTGGTTAAGGGTGTGAAGATACTCAAGATGCCACCTTTT